ATCCTGGATATGCTCCTGTTGATATGCTCCAGATGAAAGTTTGATTTCACAACAACTTCTCATTAGCCCTTCACACTGATGGATGTATGGCTTGGGATCAGATGAGCTGCTTCTACAGAATTGTTCTCCTGCCAGTTATCCCACACTAAACTTGTGTACCTACTTGATCCTGCCAATGTGTACCACTCTGTGTTTGCCCTTTTTTGAACTACATCCCCTCTTTCTTCACATTACTTTTCTGTGATGGTTTTGACTTAGCTGATAGTATCTTAAGAGGCAAAGTCCACGTGAATGCAGATAATTCAGTAAATCTAAAAAACTTCATGAAAGTAGTCTTCCTTGCCCATTCTTTTGTGTGATCTCTACATTTATACTGGAAAAGTTCCTTCTGCTTCATCAGGTTCTTGTAACAGTTTCTCTTTGCCTGAATTGATAGAAATTAGTGAAGAAAAGAGTAGACTTATTTAAAATCCTTCCAGTTCCATTTGCCACACGATCTCAGATCTAGCTCAACAGACCACCGTATCCAGTGACCTTGTTGACAGGCAATAGATAAACCAAATTTCCCATGTGAGCCAACTGATTGCTTAAATCCATTTTTCTCACTTTTTGTGACAATTGTTTTTTCCAGAATAATTAAGTTAAAAAATCATTATTACTTGCCTTGAGCTTACAGCCAACACCAGTCCAACTTGAAGATTAAAAGAAAACAAAGATGATACAAAATACCTCACATTTGAAACAAGGTTTGCACTCTCCTGCAGATTAAAAGCCCCTAAATCAAATAGAATTTGTCAGATACAGGTAGGAATCCCCCAGTTATCAGAAGTCCTAGATGACTCAGGCACTTTTGGAAAACCCACCCAGGATTTTAGCAGTGCTTCAGAGGAGGTATTATTTGGTAACAGGCAGCAAGAAATTTGTTAGAAAGAAGGATTACTGCCTTAAGTAATGAGATTCATCTCACAAGAAAGGTGTTTGGTCCCCTCATAATCTTTACTCGTAAAAGGCTTTTCCAGGTGCAGATTTGTCCAATAAACCAAACGCTTTGCCATAGGGCACTACGTTAGCACAAAAACACAGCTATGTGGTTCTGCATATGTAGGAGAATAAATTCTAGGTGACCACAGTTACTACGATATTTAACCATGTCAAGTGTAAATCCAAAAGACATTTGGAGCTCATCATGCCAGTAGCCACTTTAAAAGCCAGCCTTTGGATTGTACTGAAGTTACATTGCTTTTGTTCTCTACAAACTGCGGCCTTGGACCCATTTGTACCAGAGTAAGTGCTCAGTGTTCCCTCAGGTGCACACATTGTAAAGAATCCAGGTTGCTTATGATTTTTCGTGATCCCTGAGTACAGACAGCTAATAGAGTATGAAATTTCATGTTTGGGGAGCCATTTTTCAGAACAGAAAAGGCCAGCTGAGAAGTGATCTGAGTTAGAGAAACAGAATTAAGAATCATTTACAGCTAGTGGAGTAAAGTGTTTATAGTGCGTCATTGTTCCATCTCAGCATGTGCTTAATGTTATGAGACAGTTTGTTATGGGTTTGTTATGCCACAAGTGAGCAGAGAGGCATTTTAATTGAGACAAATGAGAAAAAAAATTGGATAAGAATATTGTTGGCTAAGCAATATGCAGAACGGGATGTATCCACAGAATGCCTCCCCCTTTCCCTCCTACCCAAAGGGCTGTACCGACAGCAAGAGTCAGCACATTTCAGGGGCTTGTTTTTGTACCTGTTATTTTGTTGACTTGCTAACTGCGTCTGTACTCATTTGTACATGTAATATCAATTGATGCCTGGACCAACAGGTATGCGTATAAAATGGAGTAACAGAGAGGCATGAAAAGTTTCACAGTGATTTCTGGTCCATCTGCTCTCAAAATTTCTCTGGCACAGCTGCTGGACTTGCATGCATTAATGCTGGACTACTTTTGAATCTAGCCAGTGTATTTTGACGGTTGCATTAACACAGCATTAACTGGGAGAAAAAGCTGATCTTTTACTGATTCCCAGATTCAGTATGTGATCTCTGACTGATGGTCATGTTAAAAGGATAATTTGAATGTATCAGACAATATGCATCACATGGTATTTGTACCAAATCTATTACACCAGATGCTGTAATTACATAGAACATATATTTACATTGTTGAAATTCCTTCTCCAATTACTGAAGATTTTACAGAAATTTTGTAGGTTGGGGAATTGTTGTATGGAAGGAAAAGGGAAATGCTCTGTAGAGGTTATTAATCAATACTATCAAAATCCTCTGAATGCCTCCTGTAGATATACTTCCCTATGGCCATGCAGTGACAACTCTATAGCTTTTTTTTGCAACACTTGGCAAAAAACCATAAAAAGTGAACTACCAACTGAAAGAAGATGGTCTATCCCATTTCTGATACAGACCAGCAGTAGATGCAAAAAACTAACCAGACAAGCATCAGATAATAAACTTCTTGCACATCTTCCAGACTTCCTGTATTCACTTCAAAGTCATGTGGACTTTTAAATGTACTCCAGCTTCTCCACATCCCTTGTCCTTAGCCGTAACTTCTGGTACAGCAAACACTTATGTATTCTCAGATGCACTAGTTCCTCAGCCCCCACTCAGATCACCCACATTGCCTATGTAAACTAGCAGAACACATGGAAACATGTAGAAGAAGACTTCATGGTAGGACACTGTGGCAGAAGGGCATCAGTCACCCCTGAAAGAGATATCAGTCTATGGAGGTGACAACAACTTCTGGTTCAGCTGAAGTCACTGCAGGTTAAGGGGTTTATCCAAGCCGATAGCTAACTCAGTTTCCTTGTTTGAACTCTGTTTCAATGCCCTGCTGGGTTTGATCTCTGCTGGGTCCCTAATTACTGCAACTAAATCTGTGCTGCTTCACCCCTGGGCTCCCTCCTGGTGTTTTATGCCATGTGGCTGGGCATCTGGGGCTACACGCGCTATAGCCACATAGCTTTAAGAACATAGATTGGTAATGGGCAATCTGTCTGGTTTGAAGGATAAAACACTGTGGAGTGCAAAGGAGGCTGGGAGGAATCCTTTTTCTGACACCCAGGTGTCAGCGCCGGCCTTCTTTCAGCTGTGTCCAGAATAATGAGATCAACGGATCATATGGCGCAGAGTCTTGAAGAGACCCATGATACGATTCTCTTGATATAACACTGGTCAAGTGACAAGAAACTTGCATTTTCCCACAGGCCACTGACAACAAATCTGATTATTTTCACCCCTGTTTCTTCAGCTGTTAAATAGGAATAACAATATTTGCTTTACTTCGTTAAGTATTTTGGGGTTTACAGATGAAAAACATCTGATCGCAGCTGAAGTGCGAACAGGCAAATGAAAAACATGACTGGAAAACTTAACTGAATGGCTTCAAACCTCAGAAATTTTTTTACTCTAATTTCCAGCTCTGATTCAGGTGATATTTTCTTTTTGTCACCACCTGTTGGTTCAGTCTATTTAAAGTCCTAGTTATGCAAACATTACACCATGTGCCTATGCTAATCCCTCTCTCTTAACATTAAAATCCGTTTTGAAATCCAAGTTGCCTTTCCACAGTTGTGCAACATTTTATTTTTCTGAACCCCTCCTGAGAAAATAGCAAAAACAATTGTGCTTAAAGAGAAAAAAAACACGGGATATAAAGGTAGATTTAATCTTCAAACTTTTAACACAATAGTATAAGGACAAACTGTGGGTTGAAGGACTGCGGTGGGGAGTTGACACAGACTCTTTCACAGAGCCCTGCAGAAGGGCTTGCTATTGTTTCTCTCACTAAGGCATTAAGGTTGCCAGCAAGCGAGACAGGAAAGCTCTGCATCCATCTCCAGGTACAGCTGGGCTCGTGAATGCTACTACTACATCTGTAGGGCTTTCATCAGTGCATATCAAAGCAGTTATTTCCACCAGTATTTGATTTGTCTGTGCCTTTACACAACCTGACTGAACAAGGAGGAGTTTATTCAACCAGAGGAGACTCTTCATGGAGGAAATGGTGGTGGATTAGTAACACTCTTGTGTGTTGCGTGCACATGTGTGTGACTGATCTCATTAAGAAGAAATTTGTGCTCTGATGATTTTATTGTTGCTGTGCTACAATGCAGAAGAGAGCTGAAAGGGCTCAGGAGTGATGACAGCAAGAGTAATAGAGATTTTGAAGAGAATTATCTATAAAGTAAAGAAACACAATTTTTCCTGCTGTTTTCAAAAGCTGGGATATACTTCTTTTTGTAAGCTCTGAAGGGACTCTTACAGCTCCATGCAAAGCAGGAGGCAAGAATAAATTACCATCACTTTCACAAAGACAGGGACACTGTGGAAATCAGAATTTTCAAAATCAGTGTATTTTTGCTGCCAGTCAGTCTCCCCTTTGTTTGACAGAGTGGATCGATATCATCGATACGCGAGATAGCTGTCAGAGCAGAGAAGGAGAGTAGCGTGAAGGAGAAAACCTGTGGGGCTCTACAAATTGCTCTTCTTTCACCTCCTGCTGCTGTCTCCACCCTCAGCACGTAGTGACTCCTCCTGGAACGAGGTGATGCTGGAGTCTGCCTGGGCTGGACCAACTCAGTCCCGAGCAGTGCTTTAGCCAGCTGGCAGTGCAGAGGGGCTCTGCTTTCCCTGCTGCCACCTCCTCCGCAGCAGCAGCAGGGGGAAGCTCTCATCTCCACACGCTGTGTTTGCATGAATGCCTCAAACTGGCTGTGAGAAAACAGCTTGTTAACCTGTGCGAATGACCTGGAATCCTAGAAGGATTAACCTGTTTGGTGACTGAATCTACAAAGACTGAAAGTCCAGGTGCTTTCGGGGGAGTGGAGGACAGTCCAGGACGGGACTGTGACTACGTGGAGAATGTGCTCTGGGGCTACACCTCACCCACGCTCTGCTCCACTCACTCTTTTGCAGGGGACCATGGAGAACATGTGCTGAGACGGAGTGCTGGGCAGAAGCAGCAGTGGGCTGGTGAAGATGGAGAATGGCACAGGGGATGAGCAGAACCAAACTGGGCTGCCACTATCAAGCCAGGAGATCATTACAGCCGAATACCAAGTGATTACCATCCTCTTGGTCCTCCTCATCTGTGGACTGGGCATCGTGGGCAACATCATGGTGGTTTTGGTTGTCCTCAGGACCAAACACATGAGAACTCCCACTAACTGCTATCTGGTGAGTCTGGCTGTGGCAGATCTCATGGTGCTTGTGGCTGCAGGACTACCCAATATCACAGAAAGCCTGTATAGAACCTGGGTCTATGGCTACGTGGGGTGTCTCTGCATCACTTATCTCCAGTACCTAGGGATCAATGCGTCTTCTTTTTCCATCACTGCCTTCACTGTTGAGAGATACATAGCCATTTGCCACCCAATCAAAGCTCAATTCCTATGCACTTTTTCAAGAGCCAAAAAGATCATTATTTTTGTCTGGGCTTTCACCTCCATGTACTGTATGCTCTGGTTTTTCTTGCTAGACCTTAATACAGCAGTCTACAAAGACACTACTGTTGTGTCCTGTGGCTACAAGGTGTCCAGGAGCTATTACTCTCCTATCTACATGATGGACTTTGGTATATTTTATGTTGTGCCAATGGTATTGGCAACTGTCCTCTATGGTCTGATTGCTAGAATACTGTTCCTGAACCCCATCCCTTCGGACCCAAAAGAAAACTCTAAGACGTGGAGGAATGACGTGGCTCACCAAAGCAAGCCTGTGAATTCCAAGATGACTAACAGAAGTTTCAATAGCACTATTGCTTCTCGAAGGCAGGTAGGAACAGCAGTTTGAAATGGCTTTCTGAGACCTAAAACTGACTTGTTTTAGGATCGCTAACTCTAAACCGGTGGAAGGGGCTAAAATATATTCTCCCTTTTTGCTAGGTGGTCAAGCTGAAACTCTGTGCTACATACACACATACATATAAATATATATATTTTCTTTGCTATTCATTATTACCCACTGCAAGGACTGAAAAACAAATAGTATTTTATTTCCTGTATCAAAAAGCAATTAGGAAGTATCAATAAAGAGACAAACGTTTTAAACTATAGTTTCTTTATATTATAGCCTGTTAGTAATCCTGTTAAATATACAAAGTGACTCTTGAGTTATATTTGAGATCTGAAGAGAAGGAACTAGCCTGGGAGTTTAGGAGACTTGAGGTTTTGTCCCAGCTAAGGCACTGTGTCACTCTGCAAGCATAGTTAAGTTGTTACTTTTCCTGTCTCTCACTCTCCAGTGAAAAGTCTACTTCACCAAGTCTGCATATAAAAGAGCTTTGTAAATACTGAGGATCTTTGTGATTCTGTCTCGCATAAAATATTTTTATGTATTCATGGCTCAAAACTGAGGCATAGGTTTGACTAGCTTCTTTTTATATTGTTAAATATGTATGCTGTGATGTGCAGTTATACAAGAAGAATATAGTTAGTGGATCAATTTATGGCTATTTGCAGTAAGCCATACTGCCTCACATTCACACAGCATGCAGCAGGCAGCACAGCCGGGTGCAGTGCTGAGGACTGCAGGCTGCATCGCTTTGCAGCCGGCTCTCGGGAGCTGGCTCTGGTTGGGTCAGGCACCTCAATGCGAGTGTTGGGAAGCAGCGCTCCGTGCTGAGGGGCTTGGCTCACACCCCCGGCAGCCGCTGCATGGCACCCCGGAGGGTCACTTTGCCAGCGGGATGCTTCTACCTCCCTGCACCGTACAGTTCCCTCGGGGATCAAAGCTGAGCTGTGCACCTTTTCAAACAAGATGAATGCACTTCTTGGGTGATGGGTTGAACTTTATTTACTGCTTATTATATGTAGATTGCTACTGTTTAATGAAAGGGACCATTTTCCCATGTTACAGAGAAGGCACTGACCTCAAAAGTTGACTAGGCTGGCTGCCTGCTAGAGCAACAAGCGCTCGCAGAGCACTAGAACCAGACTTTGAAACACACAACTGAAACTTGTGGGCTAGGTTATATTTAATTATGTGTCTCCAAGTATAGTTAATAGTCAGATTAGAAGTGTGTAATTTATTTTTCTTTGTCCATTAATTAGTAGAAGAAGAAGATAATCTAATTTTCAAGTTCTCCATATCACTTTAGTATACATGCTTGATTACATGTGCTTAGCATCACTTGAAAAACAGACAAATCTTTTACATCGAGCATTGCTAAATGTGGATACGTTATATTATGATACCAAACAGTGAGGAATATAATGTGATGTCTTTTTTGTCTTGTAAAGACAGCAAGACTTTTTCTAAAAGCCGAAGAAACCTGATTGTTTAAAGTGGCATCATCACGAGCAAAGCTAGCATTTGTGTATAGTAGAACACAGGAAGAAAAGCAAGGGTAGTTTGGCATTATTAGTAATATTTTTTATACAATAGCAGCATGCAAAATACAACCAGTGGTGTAAAATGGGAAAATACAAGTCCATATAAAAAAAAAATGTAAAATCTCGACAGTTAGTAAGACACAGCAGTGAAAATTTCCTGCTGTGCTGGCAAAGAAATGTATACCTGACAGTATAGTTTGGCCTCATAGTGAGTTCTGCTTTCATGTAGAGCTCTCTATATGCCTCCTCACACACAGAACTGTCTATATGCCTCCTCGGAACTGTGCTTGCACTGCAGTGATGGAATTGCACACGATGTCCAGCATGTGATCTGTAGATAAAGTGACTGAAAATGTGGTGTACACTTCCTACTTCTGTGGCAGTTCTTATATTTATCCAACAACATTACTGCAAAAGGAATTTTTTGCATGTTCCTGTGGTGGGTTGGCTCCAGCTGGCAGCCAGACACCCATCCAGCCGCTTGCTCGCTCCCCACCTCAGCAGGACAGGGGAGAAAACAGGAAGAACAGGAACAAGAAAGTTCATGGGTCAAGACAGGGACAGGAAGATAACTTATCAGTTATTGTCATGGGCAATGCAGACTCCGCTTAGGGAAAATTAACTTCCTTTATTGTTGATTTATTGCCCCTTCTTATAGTCACAAGTTACACTCGGTCCCTTCCGTGAGGCAACCGGCAGCATGGGACCAGGGAGAGTTTCAGTCAGGTTGCAGAGGTTTGTCTGTCACTCCTTCCTTCTCACTCCTTTCCTCTGTTTCAGTGTGGGTTCTGCATGGGTTGCAGTCCCTTGAGGTGGTGCCTGCTTTGCCAAGGAGCGCCTCCTTCTCTGACTTTGGCATTCCCTCTGCTGTTTCTCGCTCTTTTGTTCTCTTCTCCCCTTTCTTTCCCGTGGTTTTGCCATTTCTTAAATATGTTTTCACAGAGGCATCACCAGCTTGGCTGAAGGGCTCAGCTGTGTCCTGTGGTCAGTCTATTGGAGCTGGATGGAAGTGTTTCTCTCTAGCACAGGGCAGCCCCAGGCCTCTTCTCAGAGAGGCCCACTACTGCAACCTCCCCACTGTCAAAACTTGGACATGGAAATTCAGTACAGTTCCACTGAGTGATTATGACTAATTATTATCACAATTAACCTATTATGAGCTCACATATATAGAATATACCAGAATGAAACAGTAAGTTAGAAAGGTTTCCTAAACCTTCATGAAGGTTTAACTTCGGATTTTCATAACCATTTTTGATGATGATTGATCGAACACGGCAGTATGTGAATTGACTTCCCCACTTAGTCTGACCTGGATTGCTTGACTTATCTGGATGTAGCTTGACCCAGACTGCCAGGTCATACCATTTTCTTTCATTTTCCTGGAACTTCCTATTATCTCATCTATGTTTGGAAAGTCTCCCATTGTTAAAAAAGAACAAAACTTTCTTTTCACCTGGGTAAGAAAGCATTTTCTCCCCTACCCTGTCATACAGTGGCTCTCTGAAGCTGTTTCCAACACATGGCAGAGATAGATGATATAGTCCTGTTGTTTTTTAGACTTTTTTTTTAACTGATATTATTGTGTAAGCGTATAGCTATATATATACTGTCAGCTTTGTGTTCCTATGTCTGCTTCCAAGAATTAGTCTTCTGTATACAGTCAATACATTCTGTTGTGAGTCATATAGTTAATCAATTTCAACTGTCTTCTTCAAAAATGACAATACATCACATAGGTTTCTGGTGCGAGATTTAGCCCAGGATTAGAAGCTGACAGACTAAAAATGCAAAGACCAACTAGGGTTCAACACGTAGGATGCTTCCTCACACCTGGCACCGATGGAAAGAGCAGGACAAAGAAGGAACAGCCCTGACACGGTACCTAGAATAGCTGTGTGCTTAGGGAGGAAGCAAATATAGAGTAAAATAACCATTTTCTTAAAACTCTGGAGGATAGCTACCTAAGCTGGGACAACAGGGGAGTAGGAAGCTCAGCAGTAAGATAAACAGGAGGGAGGCAGGTGGCTGCTGCTGAAGGAGAATAGATGGACCATGTTCAGTTTCATTCAAACATATGTTTTCCATCTCTGATGTAAACAGATGTAATGCCAGCACTGAAGGGGAAAAAAGTTGTCAGGTGGTCAGAGGACTTTTGGTTTCAAAACAGAATGGCAATTTAGAGCATTCTATGATTTAGAAAGAAGGCCTGGAATATAGTTTTAGAATGGCAAGTCAAGCCTACTCTAACATATTTTTCATGTGAGGTGCCTAGGGATGAACTGAGAATGAAGCTTATGTAGTACATCTCCAGTAAACGAAAATCATCTCTTCCAGGTAGAAAGTGGTCCTCTGCTTACTCATTCCACTCCCTGCCTTCAGCCTCCCACCCACATCATTTAAAAGTCACTGAACTGTTAGTTCTAGGAAATATTTATTTCATCCCAATGTTTAGAAAGCTAACAAACAGGAACAAAATCTTTTTACTAAAGGATCAATACTCCGTATCAACAGCCACCAATGGACAAACCCTTTAAAGTACCCTGCAGGGCCCCCTGAAGTTTTAATTCAAAGCACTGCAAGACAAAACTGAACAGCGAAGACAAGAAAAAAAAAAAAACAGGTATAAAAGTCAGTCCTTTTTTTTAAATATTGAAAGAGGAGGAAAAGCACAAAATAAGCTTTCTTTTCTAATAAAGTATCTCTACTTTCTAACATGTTTTTGTTTCACTGACCAACATCTGTTACTGCTGATATTGGACAACTACTAAAATTAGGAGTTATTTGTTTACACTGCAAAAAAAAAGTTCTACCAAGGAAAGAAGCACCAATACATACCCATAGGATGTGTCAGACTCCATTCTTACATCCACTTCTGAGAGCTAAATCAATCCATGCAATATTTGTTCTGTTTTACAGAACTGTGATAGTTCCATTTTAAAAGTTTTTAAAAAAGGAAACTCATTTTATTTGACAGTCAAGCACTCCTTCGTACATGGGAGTACATTTCCAATTCACTTTGTACTTTCTATCAGGCTTCTGGTGTCCCAGAATGAACAGAAGCCAGTTCATTCTGCCTCTTCTTTGTCAGAAGCTAAATCCAGCTGACCCACTCTTTATTGAAAGCAGTAAGAGTCATTTTTTGCCTTTGCAGATCTTTTGATCAGCCAGTACAAGTCAGCAGGCAACACCTGACTTGCTCCTGAGGGAAGATCTCTGCCAAAAGTAGGCGAGATAATGGTATGATGCATTTTCAGAGGAATCAGTTTGTGCTTGAGGCTGCAGGGCGCTGGGCCCTGAGGAATCAACTGATGCTGCATTTGGGTTTAGTACTGAAACATGTGGGTAAACCTTCAAGCATGTGTTTAGTTTGTGACTAAAGAAAAATCTTTTAGGTCTGATGGAGCTGGTGATGACTGTGTTGAATGGGCTTTCAGTTATGCTTTGCAAAGAAAACAACCTTGCTAGACTGAAGATTTTATACAGCTGAACAGTACTGTGGGAAAGGATTTGACGGTTGGACTTGATGATCTTAGAGGTTTTTTCCAACCTATGATTCTATGACTGCCAATAGGGGGTCTCAGTCATAAACAGTGACATAATGTTTTTTTGCAGCAGAAGATTAGGAGAAAATGAAAAGGTGACTAAAAGTAAGGTGAGACCTCTCTGACCACAGGGAAACTACAGAGTATTTCTGCTGAGTGATTTGCACAATTTGAACATGAGAAAACAGAACGAAATAATTCTGGTGTACACATTTCCTCAAGTTAAACAGGAGGGAAGTTGAGAATGCAAAATTTCCTGGCACCATTCAGTTGAACCCAGGTCACACTGGCTGAAACTTCAAAGCTTAACAGAGGAAAGATCAATGTGATTAGAATATGATACTGAGATAAAGAGTATCTCATAAGTCAAGACAATTCAAAGTCCCATTTACTTGATTCAGAGCCAAAAAAGGAACTTCAATGCAAAATTGATGCTAAGATTTATTTAACAACTGTATGATCATTTGGACAGATGATCACAGGTCCTAAGGAAGTGAATTTAAGTTGATTTCTACTCACTCACCAGAAAATACAGACTATGAATTTGGAGCTTGTCACTGTTTAGAGCAGGGTGGCAATAAACGGAGTGACAGATGGTCTCTGTTAACTCCCGCCCTCCCACCTCATCTGTCCAGTCCTCCAGATCAGATCCTGGTTCTGGCTGTGTTGATCTCTTCCACACTTCCATTTTATCCCACCTAGCTCAGTCCACAGATCCCAAACTTCTTTCTTGTCCATCCATAATATGAACACTGCATTACGTATTTTCAGGTAGATTTCATACTTTCCCCAAAGGAAATCCTAGTTTCATCAGGTATCAAGGGGACTGTGAAAAATACAGCCTTAGATAGCAAACGTATTTTTTTATACTTGAGATGGGATCCAACTCACTTAACATTATGCATATCTCAGAAAGTTCATTGCTTAGTCCAATCAAATCATCTGATGTCCCTCCATGGTTGATTAAAAAGGTAGGTCACCTTCCTCAGAAAGTCCTCTCAGACATCGACGCAGTACGTGATGACCTGCCCCCCAAGAGAAACCCCTCTGTTCTCTCACAGCATAGGAAGCACAGATTCCAGCTTGCAATGCAAGATAAATTTTTTACGGCTTACATGAAATCCTCAAATCATATCACTTGGTTTCACTTGTGATCTTACTATATAAGTCCTTAATCCTTTTATTTATCTAATCCTCCTCCTCATTGTACAATTGCTTGTGGATTACAGTATCACAGACTGGCATATACAATCTCTATGCATTGCAATGAATACCACCAAGCACACGAAAGAAAGATGCTATTACATGCCTTTAACACATCAGAGTGACTTTATGGCAGACTAACATAGCAAATATGACTATTATTTTTACCTGTCAATGTAAGAAAGATTAGTATTCAAAGGAGAAGGAAACAACCACCCAAATGTGAGTACCATAGTCATGAAAATGTCTCGTAAAAGCACTTCCTTAGAATGACAAGGTTTTGGAGCAGGAAAGAAAAGGAGAATACTAGTCCAGAGTTAAAATATTGGGAATCTGCTTAGTAAAGAACATTTGAAATATTTTTCAGAACATTCTCCGAAACAAAAAAGATAGGACTTGAAACGTGTTTCTGTGCAGCCAGGAACACATTCAATGTCAAGCTCTTCACTATCATTCAAAGTACACTTGAAATTTGGACTAAAATGGATTTGCTCAAAGCCTTTTAATCACGTTTTCAGTCTCCTCAACTAAGAATAATTTGTACTCTGAATACAGGATACACGGTGTACATCCACAAGAAAAGAGCAGTCAGTGCATGCTTGCCTTCCCCTGAGTAATGAAGCAGGATGCTAGTGCCTCTGCTTCCAGGAAGCTTTGGTGTACGGTTATAGGTAATAAAAAGCAGGTCCTTAAAAGAGCAAAGTGGACCAAACTTTCCTCTAGGCTATTTCTGTGCAGCCCTATCCATCCCAGTGAAGATTTTTGGTGTGTACAAGAAAGCAGCTTTGGCCTAAATTGTGTGTTTAGTAGCTGGGTTCATCTATAAAGGCAAATTCAGGTGCGAAAATGGTCCAGGGCATGCTTGCAGCATCTTTGGGTCAGGAGCCCTGAGGGGTGCCTCAGCCTGCAGTGGGGTGACAAGCCCTCTGACCATGCTGGGGACAAAGCGAGCGGTGCAAGAGCACCTTCTAGGAGCTGCTGTTATCTTCACATAGGTCATGCTCTGAGGTAGCTGAGAACGAGAAGCCAACTGCCTCCGGACCCAACTTAGGGAGGATTTACCAATGAGCACATAACTATCTGAACTCAGGGCCTTGCCGTGGGTCTCAGAGACACAACCTTTACTGGTCAGACAGATCAGGCAACTGAATTTCTGCCTGGCAGTAGAGAGCACGTGCCAGATTTGTCATTTTTGGCAGCTTTGGAGGGACACGTGCTGCAGGCAGTTTAAAATTATGGTGAATATTCTTCATTGTCCTGTACTGACTGAACCACTATGAGGTGCCACCAAAGAGGTGCCATCCATGGTTCTGCCTCTTCTCGTGCACTGACTGTAGACTGTGTGGCAGCCTATGGGTACATGAGTTGGATCATTGACCTAAGCAAACCGAAAACCAGCTCTACAGAGAAGCACTTAGTTTTTGGTTGGACCAGCAGTCTGACCTGACCCACACCCTCATCTTTGGGGCCAGCACAAGGAGGGAGGTGAGAACAGGATTGCTTTTTTTACCTGCAGCACAGGTTACTTTGGCTTCAGTTTATATCAAACCCAGGAAATGCGGAGTCTGAGTGCTGCAAGACAATGTCTCACCTGGCATAAAGTCTGACAGTGTGAAGCTAACTTCTTGGCATTTTAAAACACATTCAAATCTGCAGACTAAATTGATCCCATCTCAGAGCACTTTGTGCTGGGACCATGATATTTTTTGTCTGATGCTGAGACAGTTCTAATATCTTGTCAAATCACAGCCTCAGTAAGCTGAACATGGCAGCAGTACAAGCTAGTGGTGTTAGATAGAAGGAAAATGCACATCAAGCTGTCAGTATATATAAATCCAGCTAATAGTTTACATGCTACATACATGTATGTCTTTGAGGACTATAGGATGCAGTCACTCGAAGAGTAACAGCCTTTTTTTCATTGCTGTAAAGTATTAATTGTGTGACTCTAAATTGTCACCTTCCTGATGGTAAGATCAATTTACATCTAGTTCAACCCAGGATTCAAGCTGCACCATTGTAAGTGATTCTCTGAGCAACTGTTCGTTAACAACATGCTCAGAAGAAACGTAAATTGCCAATGATCAGCAGCTATGACAACAGCTCCCTGCTGAGCTTCTGGAAGTGAAGTACTTTGATGCCTGTGTAGGCTATTGTCCACTCGCCCTCTGAATGCCTGAGCTGAACAACACATCTGTTAGTTGGGCTCAGTCCCATTGATAATCCAGGCTCCACAAGTGGTTACTTTCTTCCTTTATTCATTTTCCATGATGAATGATTATTCTCAGTTGAATGGATTTGCTCATTTTGGAGGCGGAGGCTGGAGCGGAGCTGGAAGGAGGAGAGGGAGCAGATGAGGAATCCTGAGTCTTCCTCAGCCAGAGCAGTTCGGTACTGGGTCAGCGTGATCTTTGCAGCCATGGTCAGAGGACTGGTCTTTGCAGTGGTTCAAAGAGAAGGAAAAATTGTCCTTTTAGTTACTCAAGACATCCATATCTGCATTTTGCTCTATTGCGATGATTGTGCACAGCAAACAAGAAAAGCAGTCTAGAAGTCATGAGGAAATATGTCAGTCAAGTGACAAAAACTGAAATAATATTTCTCAGTCTCATTTTTTAATTCTACTAAACACAGCTGTAGTAGATAGATAGATAGATAGATAGATAGACAGATAGACAGATAGGTAAAGATACATCAAATTGTAAAGTAACTTTGCTCTTCACACTAGTCTAGAGGAGGAGGTCTAATGTGGTTGGAAAAAATGGCTTTAGATACCTTTTTTTTCCACCTGAATCGACACCTCCATCCAGCTTGAGAACTTGCAAAGCCTGAGGTCTATAACAATTACCTTACTGGGACGTCACCTGGAAAGACTAATTTAGCAGAAATTAGGAGGCATTTTTTTTTGTCCTTCTTACTGTAGAAAACCTTTCTGAATCAGACATTGAACAGAAATTCCCAGCTGAAGAGTCTGTCCTTAGCTTTGCTTTGGTCCTACAGATATGGGAATGCACATGTTCCTTCCATGATGAGTACTAACCTTCTGCCCATCTTCTGTCTACTTCTGTATTCCCCCAGGTTACCAAGATGTTGGCCGTGGTTGTGATCCTATTTGCATTTCTATGGATGCCCTACCGCACGCTGGTCGTGGTCAATTCCTTTCTCTCCAGCCCCTTCCAAGAAAACTGGTTCCTGCTATTTTGCAGAATCTGTATTTATTTAAATAGTGCCATCAATCCTGTAATTTACAATCTCATGTCTCAGAAATTCAGAGCAGCCTTCAGGAAACTCTGCAACTGCCAGCAGAAAAGGGAGAAGAAACCAGCCAATTACAGTGTGGCCCTAAATTATAACGTCGTCAAAGAGTCTGATCACTTCAGCACTGAGCTAGAAGACATTACTGTCACCAATACCTATCTGTCTTCTGCAAAATTGTCCCTTGGTGACACATGTTTGTCGTCTGAGGTAACAGTTAATATATTTTAATGCTTGGTGTAGAGTCCTCATGAACCAGAGTGTGTTCATGTGCACGAGACTGTGATGGGATAGCTTTCAGGTGGGGCAGCAGAGCAAAGGACTAGGGAAGGCTGGTGGTGACAGAGGATGTGCCACCAAACAGGGTGTAGTGGGGAGGAAGAACTGCGCAGCTCTGTAAAGTGGTGCTCTCAGAGTGCCTTGTGCTAAGCATGACAGGACTGGGAGGATCTGGGGTATGGGGAAAGATAAAGAGAAACATGTAGGTTAAGCCTTACTTCCTGAGGAGCAGAGGGCAATGGTGGAGCATCACAGTGGTGCTCAGGCATGGTGCCTCACTGTCCTGGTTTCAGCTAGGACAAAGTTAATTTTCTTCCCAGTAGCTGCTGTGGTTTGGATTTAGTATGAGATGAATGTTGATAATACACTGATGTTTTTAGTTGTTGCTAAGAAATCAAGGACTTTTTTCAGTTTCCTATATTCAGCTAATAAGAAAGTGTGCAAGAGCTGGGAGGCAGCATGGCCAGACAGCTAGCCCAAGCTGGCCAATGGAGATATTCACAGAATCACGGAATCATAGAATAGTTTGGGTTGGAAGGGAGCTTTAAACATCATCTAGTCCAACCGCCCTGCAATGAGCAGGGACATCTTCAACTAGATCAGGTTGTTCTAGAGCCCCGTATTATTCCATGCCATAGATGTCAGGCTCAGTTTACAAATGGGTGTTAGCCAGGGGGTGGGAACTCTCTGTTTCTGTGAGTTCAAACTTTTCCAGGAGTTCAGTCTTTTTCGGTGAGTTTGGCAAGTTCTGTAAAATTCACGAGTTTGGTGAAATCCGTGAAATCCACAAGCTCCCAGATATCTGCGGGTTCCGTAATTGCTGCCTGGGGACTGGCTGCGCAATTGGTCGTTGGGTGGTGAGAAAAATTGTATTGTGTATAGCTTGTTTTGCATATTCTTTATTATTATTATTATTTCCTTTGTTGTCTCATTAAACTGTGAGTTTTACTTTTCCCCATCCTCCTCCCCACCCCACTGAGGGGGGTAGGAGTGAATGAGTGGCTGTGTGAGCCTAGTTGCTGGCTGCCAGATTAAACCATGTCACTCACATACGTGTCTGGCAGGAGGGTGGGCATTGGTGCCTGAGCTCTGCGACTCCTTTGGATCGTGCTCTGGCTGCCTGCAGGAGGTCAATGGGGCATTTTCTTGAGCCTCAGGCACCGGCTCCACCTTGGGGTTAACTAACCCCATGTCACCATGCAGCTGGTGTTTAGATGTGGATCTCCCCCGCACCAGCACTCTGGTCCTGAGAGTGGTGGAAGCCACATCCACTGCCATGCTACCTGCACTGTCCTGGTGTGTAGCACATCCCTCTAACCCAGTTTGTTTCTATGTTATGATGCATGTTACCGTTTTCATGATGCTTTTTTACACAATGCTACTTAAATGCTGTTTGTAAACCTGTATACCTTAGATCTTACAATATAGATGATCCACAGAGAGGCTTAGTTTTTCATTCCTTTTGTAGATGATATGAGAATGAAAAATGTTTCTTTCTCAGTTTGTTTCTTCTTTCCTCTTTTTCAGGCCTGAGCCTCACCTCGCTCTGAGTACACAGTTGTATAAAACCTTTGGATGTTGTTTCCACCAACCTGTATGGAATGCAGAGGCATTTCTGTTCACAGAATTGCAGGAGTTACCATATCTCTCTATGCACTTGTCTGCATCCTACAAGAAAAAGCAGCTGCTTGGGGAGTGTAAGAATACACTACTGAATCTAACTGAATCAAGAACTTAACTTTAAGCAGGTGAGCTGGCTTCAGTGGAATACCCAAATCCTTCACCTCATGTATTGGCCAAAGAGTGGCCTGTGTTCTCACAAAGAGCAAGGCTGTCCAGGATGTCTCCACTGACACAGAGCAGGGCAGTGGATGATGCTCCCAGTGAAGACGAGAGGCAAGAAGAGGAGCTGCCCTCCCACGTGGCTGCACTGGGCAGTGCCAGCAGGGCCCATCTGACAGCTGCCAGTTACAGTAAACACCCATCATTGACTCCCTCATCCCACAGCAGTGCAAATCTAATTGCAGGCATCATAACATGCTTCAATAAGCAGATATCTGATGGCAAAGAGCATGAAATGTTTTTTTTTTTTTTTCACCTCGAACAGCATCAAAGAGGAAGAACTTTCAATGAATTCACAGCAGGGAATAAACAAATCAAAAAGTCAGTAGGAAGCTTTAAAAAAAATCTGTTTTTTTCAGCAAGATAGTTTATAGATGTACCACTTTGAATGTAAGTCTCGGCTAATACTGAATCCTGTCGGAACATGACAGGTATTGAAAAGTTTTGGACAGGCTTTTACTAGTTAATTTTACTTTAGTTCAATAGTAATTGGTTCTCAGACTGCTACAGGAGTTTTGCAGCTTCAGTATAGACAATGTCTAGGGAAAAGAGGAAAATTCAGTGAAAAATGAAATTTTTTTCATTTTTCATCTCAAAGGTTATCCATTAGAATACTTCAGGACATAAGAAAGTGTTTTGAAAGACTGATTGGCTGTATGTTTGGCTAGAAAGAGAAAATACTGGGAAGGCATCGCTACCTTTTCTTAATTTTTCTAATTCATTGTAAATGTTCCCTTTACATGATGACTTTTAGCACTGATTTTGATAAGCTGGAGCCAGAGACAAAAAGTTATATTCTAAAAGATCAGTTTGTAGGCCGTACTCAACCCGCCTGCTCTGGCTGCAGCTGAGGTTACTGCTCTCCGTGGCTCATCCCCGTTCCCTTGGAGAAGTCACCAGCACACCCGCTTGCACACTCTTCCCACAGAGCGGATGACAAGCCGCCTGGGGCCACAGTTTCCCCGATCCCCAGCTGTGGTCTGAACTCCGCGTGTCACTTTGGCTTTGCTGTAGACCAGCTCGCGCTCCTGCTAGAACTATATTTTCCCATTCCTGTGCAGCAGTAACAGAAACTGGGGAAGATGCCTGCGTATTCTTGTTCGCTACGAACATTTTGCACAGCTTTTGCACATGACATTTAAAAAACTGCAAAAATCCTGCTTGTTGTGGTAAAAATCCTTGTCCAGTGTGGGATAAAAGTGGCAGCCTCACTAGCTGAGAGCTAAGGCTCTCCTATCCAGCTTTTCTTTGTGTATACAGCCACTTCCCCAATTCAAACCACTTCCACTTACATTCAGCCATAACTGTGAACTTAAAAAGAACTAAAAATACCCCGATAGCTCTCAAATTTAAATTTCAAGGTGAACTCATGTCTGCTGCATCCAAAAGCCCCCACCTGACATTCTTTGGATGGCAAGGAGTAAGGGAGCCATCCGCATCCTGCTCTGTCTGCTCCCTTGCCTTAACACCTGTTTTAACCTTGCAGAGCTCCCCAGGTACTTTCTAGCTCAGCAGAACGATGGCAGGGCGTGGAAGGTACCAGCAGCAGGATTTTTTTAATCAGCATTACTGACATGACAAACTTACTCCAGAAAGCCCTTTTTATCTTTTATTTCCATCAGCACTTGCCTTTTCATTTTGGCAGAGGCAGCGAGACAAGGGGAGTATCCTGCTTCTTGAGACTTTTACCTCTAATTATGGGGACTCAGAGTTAAACCCAGGCAGAAAATGGTGCCAGAGGCAGGCTGTGCCCTGGAGCCTGTTCTCTGAGGCACAGGAGCTGGCAGAGCTTTGGCTGCAGCAGAACCAGCAGCTAAATCTGTGAGGGCTGTGTTCCATTGTTTTCTAAATCCTCTGTACTGGGGCCCACACACCTGGAAAGGGGATGTCCAGACTCTTTTCTGCTTTTAAAGTGGTAAGTAAAAAAATAACGACAGAGTAAGTCACACAGCAGCCAAGCTAGCAAAGCTGACCAAGGTTCAACTGCCAAAAGAGAGTACCAATGTTATACTAGAGGGAGTACCTAGCAATCATATCTCATAAAGACAATACTATATCAGTGACATACACTTTGAACAAACATTTCCTTTGTAGAATTGGATGTGAAATTTCAGTTCTATGGCATTTTACTGCTCAAGCTTGCTTAAAGCTACAGTTTGCCACCATAAGAAGTCAAGGAGAGGTACCACAACCAGTACAGGCTTGAGGCGGACGTGCTGGAGAGCAGCTCTGTGGAGAGGGACCTGGGTGTCTTGGTGGACAACAGATTAACCACGAGACAGCAGTGTGCCCTGGTTGCCAAGAAGGCAAATGGGATCCTGGGTTGCATCAAGAGGAGTGTGGCCAGTAGGTTGAGGGAGGTTCTCCTTCTCCTCTACTCTGCCCTAGTGAGGCCCCATCTGGAGTACTGTGTCCAGTTCTGGGCTCCCCAGTTCAAGAAAGACAAGGAACTACTGGAGAGAGTCCAGCGGAGGGCTACGAACACAATGAGGGGACTGGAGCATCTGTCCTATGAGGAAAGGCTGAGGGAGCTGGGCTTCTTCAGCCTGAAGAAGAGAAGGCTGAGAGGGGACCTAATATATGCTTATGAATATCTTAAAGGTGGGTGTCAGGAGGTTGGGGCCAGACTCTTTTCAGTGGTGCCCAGTGACAGGACAAGGGGCAACAGGCACAAACTGAAGCATAGGAAGTTCCATCTGAACTTGAGGAAGAACTTCTTCCCTCTGAGGGTGACGGAGCCCTGGGACAGGCTGCCCCGGGGGGGTGTGAGATCTTCCTGTACAAGGTCCGGTGCAGCCTGCTGTAGGTGACCCTGCTGTGGCAGGGGGGTTGGACTAGATGACCCACAGAGGTCCCTTCCAACCCCTACCATTCTGTGATTCTGTGATTCTGTGAACGTGTATAACCTTTCCTCCATAGCAACTGTCACAGTAAAATGAAATTTTCTGAGAAATCTTACACAGGCATTTATATTTACTTAGCCAAGAGACATATTCAAAGTAAAAGCAAGTTTCTGTACCTGAAGGAGTAAAGCCTTCATGTGCAGCCTGCCAGCACCAGCTGATCAGACTGGATCCCTGGGTCGATATCAGAAGGAGAGAGTGGGGGGGAGGCTGCCAGTGGAGCCGGCACATAGAAATCCTCCTGCTCTTCAAATGCTGTTAGCAGTTGGGCATCTATCCTCTTCAGCACTTTCAGACCAGGCCTTACCTCCCAGGCTTTCTAAAGAGGTGCCAGAACTAGGTCCTCTGCTTATTTAAATAGCGAGCAGACCTCCAGGACAAGCAGCAGGCCAAGAGAACGCACGTCACAGAAACCTGGTCATACTGTCTGCTGGGAGCCCAATGGGCTGGGCTCAGAACTGAGCAAAGTATTCATGTGATAACAGTAACACAAACTTATACTTTTATCTTGACCTTTTTCAGAGTACAGACTGACAATATCAGAAGTAAATTTTTTTATTTGCCTCTTTGCTTATAAAGTAACTTTCTGCTTTCTCAGCCTCTGTCTCCATAGTTCTTTCTTTTCAGATGCTCAGGTGAGGTATGTAAGTGCATATTCTTAGTGAGGTTTCATCAAGTGCTAAAATCTATGTAGGTGATTTTGTATGCACCATCACTTAGAATAACAACCGAAAAGGAATTATTTCATGCTGGTATTTATTTGTGCAAACAGAAACAATTATGCATGCAAAATTGTGTGCACAAATGCAATATCTAAAATTCCAGATCGAAGTTAAGGTGTGATTTTAACTCACAATGTGCTGTGACTATGTCTTTATAGGTGTTATTAATGAAATCCATGCTAATTTTATACTAATTCCTACATACAACACTATGAAACTTTGCTAGATACCTTGCTAATGTGATTTTAGATTTATTTCTGTGCTTGCCCTTCTGTTTTCAACAGCAACCAACATTTTTGTTGTACCTAGATGTTGCAGATCAGATTTGATATGTGAGCATGTATTTATTTAAAAGTCTGTGTGATTTTAGGTTTATTATTTAATATAACAAACTTTTTTACTAGAAGTGAAAATGACTGGATGCCAACTACTGACTGCAGTAGTATAATTATTTACCTTTATATACTTACTTTGTGGATAACAGACTCCTTTGCAACACTTGGTTTCAAAGAATTGTCTGATTGGTAGCAGTATTGAAATCCATGTCTGTATCTTCATTTAATGGCTTTGATGTAAAAGACTGCATTTTTATTGCATGTTTATTCAGAACTTTACACAGCGTGTAACAGAAGAGATGCTGCTGTGGCATCAGGCTTTTGAAGTTACATCACTTCCCATGTGAAATACTGAGATGTTGGAAGCTTCAGTGCTGGTAAATTGTGCAGCTGAGAAAGGTTACGTGTATTTAAAACATGCTTTGGTTCAAATTAGTGCATGACTTCTTTGAGATCAGAGTTAAGGATATACTAAAGCAGCTCCAATGTATTGTGAAGGCGTATATGATGCTCCTGTGGAAATGAATGGCACAAGCCAAACGATAAAGCTCTCACTAGCTTCCTTTCAAAAACAATGATCCAATCCAACTGACTGAAGGACTGATCCTACTTTAGGAGCTGCTGTCGTAGCTCCCCTACTACACAGCGAATGCTTGGATCAATCACTTGGCCTTTGGAAGCAGACAAATATTTCTTGGTGGTTTTTTGAAAAGCTATTCTAAAAAAACACC